CCAATGTTAAGAATCGAATTGCATAACGAATACTATTGACGGCATCATTTTTTCATAAAATCAATTTTTCGGAAATTGAACTAACTATGGAGGGTATGCCACGTGTACCGATGCTTACGCCAGATTTAAAATTTTGCTTGACATCGTTACCTGCCAATTTTTCGTCACAAATTAAAGAGGTTAGTTCTTCTTGTTTTGAAAAAAGAAAAATGAATAGTTTATTATCGTTATGAATTGAATACTCTGTGGGTTGTATGAGTATATTCAGTCAGTTGAAATTTGAGTATTTTTAATAATTTTTTATCTTGACATATTCGATTGTTTCATGTATTATGCAGTTACCCTTTTATATTCCTTTCAATATTTCTGGTTCATTCATTTCAAGATTTCTGATCAGCGTAGCACTTTTTTTTGCATAAGCAATTGATGCAGAAAATAATTCTGATTTTTACAGTTGATAAATGTTTGCATTTCATCATATCCAATTGATATATGCGCATTTTATATACTTATTTATTTTAGTATATTCTATTGCATTATCAAGATGATCCAACGAAGTATGATAGTGCTATTTGTGAAATCGAAAATATGCGTTCGGTAATTTTTTTTTATTTTTTTTAACTTAATTGACAGGACTTGGATATACCGTAGCAACGAATCAGTGTGAATCTAAATAATTCCCATAATACTGATATTAGTAACAAACTAAATTCAGGTATTTCTACTTGGACTCTGTTCTCTATTGAAACTACTAATTTGGAAAAATACAAGTTTGCACAGTTGTCATTGCTAAACTATATTTTCAATTGATAATCATTGACCACTAAACTATCATTTTCCAGAAATTGAGTCGGATTTTGCCCGATTCAGAAACGTTGAACATATTGAAGCGGTATTATGCACAGTTATGCTTGATGAAGAATAGATTCCCAATGGAAAAAGGGGATATTATCAATGTAGCCTTCTCCTGGTACTATTCTCGCTTTTTCTTATTCTTATTCATACAGTTTGCAATTATGATTCATAAGACTGTGGTTTTAAAGATTTAGTATATCTTAATATTGCTTGTTGTCTGTTAATATGATTGTATCTTTTTTTTTAGTCTTTTAGTTTATTAAGAATTTTTTATTTACAATAAAAAGGAGTGTTGACTTTTTTTGTTGTCTGTTTGTTCTTATTTTTATTGTTCTTATTTTGTTTTTATTGTCTTATTTTTATTTTTTTTTGGTTTTGGTTTTTTTTTTTTGCCTCATATTAAATGGATTTTTTGTTTTGGTTTTAGTGGCAAACAATAATATAAGTGATTGTCTTAAGTTATTGCTGATACTGTTGTTCCTATTGCGATTAATGCGATTAATTAGTAAGGCAATAGATACCTCTGCTGTAAAATATGATGATAATTCAACGACAGTAAAAAAGGACATGAATTACAGGATGGATAAGAGCAGTGATATGTCAAGTGCAGCTGTCTTCGAAGATATCAATTATGAACTTGCTTGTGTGATGTATAATATTGGTGCGGTACATGGAGCGATTGCTGCTAATGAACCGCGCACTGACCTGGAAGTTAGTCTTGTTTTTAGCTGTTAAAAAGAATTAAGAATAGAATTAATTTAAAGATATGGACTTTCTCCATTCTCACATTGCATTATTTATTCAAATATTTGGAAAATAGATTTCTTTCAGTCAATTAAGAATGCTTTCACACATTTCCAATGTGCTGCATATCCTTTCGAACAAATACGTGACTCAATGAATGCTGCCAAGTATTCTGCTGTTGATTTCGATCCTTCTGTTTTGACGTTTTATGTAACTCTGCTATTGGTAAACTATTTCAAGCATTCTTTCACTTTTGACATCAAAGCATATACAGAATCTAGTTTGTCTCGTAGATCATATTTTTCATTGAGAATGAATAACGATTATTCATCAGATTTATCCGAATTTTACAGGCGCAAGCGCAAGAATGTTTACTGGAAAAGAGCATCATTGATCATCGCAAGAGTACAGTGATAGCAAAGCTGGCAATACATCTGAGAGATGTATATATACAGTGTCGTGAACATTTTGATTTCACTGGCTTGAGCGATGTCCTCTCTTCCAGGTACAAAGTAAGTAACATCTTCCACATTTTTTTTTTGCTTTCTTTTACTTTTCATGCTTCAGTATTATCTAGAATTTAACAGGAATGGCTAAGAACATGCACTGTAAAATCGGAATTGTATGGAGCTATTGCAATGCTTCATCTTGGATTACAAGCAGAAGATGATAACAAAATGGGTTTCAGGTTCGTTTATTTTTGTAGGATAGCTATGATGATATAGCAATTGTTTGGCTGGGCAGTACTTGATTGCGTTTTTAACTATTATTGTTTCCAGAGTTTCTTATTTCGACTTTGCAATGGAACATGTAATTGCGGCTATGAAACAAGTCGAGAAGGATAAGCGAGAAAGTTTAAAAGAAGCTGTCATTTTCTTGAATGATATCATCTTCGGAAAGTTAGTATTCTTTTTATTTTGTTTAGTAGATATTTTTTTCATTCCACTTAATAAGGAGGTCTATGAAATTGCCCCTATCAACCATCAGTGTATACTATCATTTCTTGCTTGCATTGCTGCGAGATCGTTTCAAAGTTATCCTTCGATGATAAAGGATTAAGTGCTGCGATGTAAAGAGGATAATTTTAAAATAATTATGAAATGCATTATTTGCATGAAAAAAATAGAACATTAATTTATATATTGTAGACAACGAAATGCAAAGAAAGAAAATGATTTTATTTATCATGACCGAATGCCGAAACGAGAAGAATTAGCGATTGTGGAGGTGTGAGTTTATTGACGCGCTTTTTTTATTGCTCAGATTACATCAGAATCAAATCTGAAGAGTGAATGGTTTGCCATTTTGCACTGAAAGGCGTACAAAATGCATCTCTCTGCAATAAATGAACCGAAAATCCGAAGTAGGAAGTTTACTGGTTTTTCTGAAACAGTTTTTGCTTTTTTTACGTTCGAGCATGTTGTTCAGGGTGTCAACATGGTAAAAGCGGTTGGGTTCGATCCAACCGACAAATCAATCTCCGGTCCCGATCTTTTTGCTGCATTGCTACCAGGAAATGTGCTCAAATCACTTTCGCTTTATAGTGAAGAGAAAGCAAAGTTCAAACGTTCTCTGCTAGAAAAAATTGAAGAAAAGAATAAGGAATTAGAGTAAGTATATTCTGATAAATTGCTTATTCTTTGAAAACGAATTTGTCGTCTACCCATTGATAATTTGTTCATACTCTAACAATTGACTAAATATCGTTAGATGGCTTCGTGTTAAATGGTGCTTGACAATAGCATAAGTTAATAACATTTCCATTAGCTGCTTGAGAAAAGGATTTTTATGTGCATTTTTTGAGCTATATCCATACTGTAAAAATTTTATATTGATCTACGTCGTCTTCCATGACCGAGAGGAATTAAACATATATTGTCAATTGGATATATCTATTGTACTTTCTATAAAGTAAAATACTATAAATGAATATAGTATTATTGTACCTCCCTGATAATCTAATAATATCATCTATTTTCAGAGATTATATTAAATCTCTGCAATTGGAAGAAATTAATTTTGATGATGAATCAAAAATAGAAGAACTTCCGGAAATGTTATTAGAAAGAAGTGCTGCATTTAACTCACAACCAGATGCTTTTCCTGAACTACTGGACAAATTGCATCGTACTTCTTTTGTTCATACGCAGCATAGCAAATTTTTTTTTTTTATTCACAGGAAAAGAATCATAGATTCCTATCAATAAAGAATAAAACATTCCAGAAGTGGGAGATTGTGCAATAGAAGCGGATCATAAAATCAGCAACTTACGCAGTAGGCTGGATGCTATCAACTCCATTCAACTGGTTATGTTTTAATTATTACAGAATGGATTCTTTCTAGAAAATTATGTTATCAGACATGCCACGGCTTGAATTCGAAGGATATCGATACCATTTCTTGTCAATTCTAATTGAAGTGTTTTTTTTTTGAAAGTAATACAGTTGATCACTTAATGTATGTATAACGTTGCATATCATTGCAGAAAGCTGACGAAGGATTCATTGCTATCATGAAGGAACTTGATCGTGTCAACGATCACCATATGAAAGCGCGGTAAGTGCATTTTCAAACTTCGAATTTTCAATTAATTTTAATCAAAATTTCTAAAATTTATTGTAATTAAAGGACAAACAATGCAGAGCTACAACGTGCATTAGCTGCGCATTCAGAAAGTTTAAAAATTCTGGCGATGCCTTTGAACGAATTACGCAAACGATTAACAGATACTCAGACAAGACCAGGTATTCCATTTTTTTTTTCATTTATGCAGACCAGGTATTTCGTTTTTTTTTCCATTTATAAAAAACACTGTTTATAGCAGATAGCGCGGAAGGACTGCTATTGAAGAAGATGCTGGATAAAGCAAATGAAATGAGCACTCAACGATGTACTCTACTTTCGAAATTAAATGAAGATTTGCTAAATGATGACATTACAGCAAAATGTCTAGCGGAGAAGAATGAAGATAATTGGGTTAGTTAACCTCATAATTCGTTCACCTGTTGAGGAATGTTATAGCTGATAGAATCAAGAAATCGATTATGATTTACAGGGATTGTATGAGAACGAGCTAAAGAAGCATGAGGAGATTGCCACACTGATTCATATGAATCTTGCTGCACAACATAATATACTTAGTGCACTGACTGATGCGAATGCGAGTTTTGGTGATTATCGTAAAAAGATTATCGATGAAAATAAAAGGCAGTTTCTTTCGAGAAATACTGTTTAATAAACATCTCGTGTTATAATTCTAAGTTATAGCTTTTTTTTTGTTTAGCATAGTTGGTGTTTTATTATTATTCATTGTTGTCGGCATATCAGAAAAACATATCAGAATCACCGTTTCAGTCGCATGGACCAGGTACTTGCCCTAACTGCGGCTTATGATGTATATGTTGATGTTTCGCAGAAGACAGAAGAAGGCTTAAAATTCTATTCAACGTTATTTTCAATCGTGAAAGGTTTGGGAGACGCTGTTGAAGCAATTGAAACTGCTTGTGAGTTATGTTTCAGCTAATATCAATGGGAGGAAACTACAATTGCAGAAAGAATTAAAGAAATATTACCCTTTTGTTGCATTCAATATATTTCACATATTGCAGTTGAAGAAGAAAAGAAAGAAAAGGAAAAAGAAATGCTGCGAGGATTGGAAGAACGTGTAAATGCTGATGCGAAATGGACTGCTTCTGCAAAAAATGTTAAGAAGGGCGAAGAACCTATTTCAGTAGGGTCCGAAAGTATGAGAAATGAAGGTACGCCAAAAGTGGGTTAGTGTCTTTCATTATCACTACATTTATCATTCTTCGAAGAAATATCTAGGACTTAAAGTTCATAAATGCTTAGTTTTTATTAATTGATTTTTCCTATTTTTACATGGGAAATTATTTTTGCATGAGAAATTAATATTTGATTTCAGGTTATAATGGGCTAAGATTAAAAGATTGTTTGGAGTACTACCGAAATAACATTGCTAGAGGAGCAATGAGCACCCAAGCAACATATTTTCCCTATAGCACACAACAATCTCATTCCTTTGATATGCCATCTACACTTCGCAGAGATATACCACCTAACCAAACGATACCAACATCTGATACTGTTCAGTTTTCTGACTATCAGACTTCAGCACCGTTACGCCATTTCGCAACTATATCTAATCAGTCTGTATCAAATTTATCACTAAATAGTAGCGCAAAAGAGATCCAGCAACCGTATGTATTTTCTGGTAATGTGGCACTACCACCGCGTTCATTACAAGCATCAATGCCCTTAACTTCTCAATCACAAATCATAGCACCGCAGCATCCCATAACTCCACCGTATTTTTTTGCAAGTCAACGTACTTCATCCTTTCCAAATCAAGATAGAAATGAAACTGCTAATATTCAGCAGATTAACACTTTTCTCCCACCACCCATTACCATTGCACACGGTATTTCTCAATCAATTTCGACTGCGGTTACAACGGACTCAGTTAGAAGACCGATATTGACAACACCGGAGAATGTAGCTACTTCAATTGCGCTGCCGATATCAACTCCCTTGAATTATACACCTAACGTTTCTTGTTCATCGAATCTAGTATTATTGGAGCAATCAGCTTCAGTAGCAGGATTGAATACTGCTGCAGCGATTGAAGTCGAGAAGCCAACTGATGGAACTATTTTACATCCTCAGATCTATACTTCCCCATTTGCACCAAATAAGATGCACTCCAATTTTACTCGAAATATGGTACCAACATTAGCCAAGCCAATCGTCGTTCCTGCTCATCACCTCATTGTTAACTTTTTTATGCATTCTGTTCTAATTTTTATTTTCATTATTGTTGTATTATATTGAAAAATTGTAATTAGATTTGAGTTTATCGAATTTTTTTTTTAGTATGATACCACGTTTCAAACAACAATGTCACCTTGGCATCAACCTCTTAGGAATATTAATGATGTGAGTGGATTAGCAGTTGTTGCCGATACAGTGAGTCGTTTTCCAATTCAACATCATAATAATCATCTATTTGAAATAATGACATAGTCTCATATTGAAATAAAAATTGCTTCAAAATGTTTAAGCCGATATTTACATGAAAATCAGTATGTGGAACATCAATTGTAGATGACCATATCTACCTTTCTGATTCTGTTCTAGAGAGTGGCTTGTACTTCAGCTTCAACTACAAGTTTTCCGTCACTTGTTCCAAATGTTCCAAATAACCAAACTACACCAGCAAGAAGCACTCCAGTTGTGGTAAATACCTCATCATTTAAATATTCATTAATTTGTCTGATTATTAAATCGGGTTGCAACGATTTGATTTAATAATAGGCAAACAAAGTTAAAACTGTGGTTTGTTAAAGAATGATAGTAAAGATCATTTCCGATGTGTTTAATAATAATTTTATTTCAGGATATAATGAATGCTCCTTTAGATATAGTATTACCAACACCTTTGACTCCTACGCATCTAACCAATAAAGTTGAAAGCAACAATTCAACTATACAAACGATGCCAATCACTGAGTCAACAAGTATTGCTCTGTTTATATTTAATCTTTCCATATGCAATATTATGGTCCTGAATATTTATTTTTAGAAATGAAAGATGAAAACAAATACGGCATAAAGTATTGAGCGGGGATAGAATAAGGAAATTTCAGTCTAAAATCCCGAAATTTCTCTACAAGGCAATATCAAAGTTTATGAATTTTATTGAAAACTATTGATTTAATTTTAAATAGTCAACAATAATTCTTCTCTCTCTTCATTTATTTAAAAAAAAAGTTGCAGAAAAGGAAGAAATGAACTTGGTGCAGATGCCACAATTATCAGAAAGTGCAGGATCATCGTCGGTTAGCTCCATTGTCGTGCAGGCACCACGACCTGCAGCTGCAATAGCACCTATCATGCAGACTGATTGTAGTACCACAGCAGCATACGATT